CTCCCTGTTTCTTTAGACAGCATACCTCCAAGACTCAAGGTGTTAATAGAAAATCAGAGCTCAGGTTCTGTGAATACCTTTAATTGCATCGTGTCAGACTTTGAGATATAGCATTTTAAAAGAGCAAGACTGGCTAAAGTTGGAGCAGTGCTCTTAAAGCTGCTTTTATTTGATCTGGTAGTGTATAATTTTCATTCATGTAACTATTTCCCTAGTCTCTTTCTAAATCTTAGTGTGCTTTTAATGTTTTCTGTTCAATTGTTTTAAAAATCTAGGGCAGTGAAACAATTTCAGATGCGTTTGTTTTAAGTATTAATGTTCGTATGTTGCTTAGAAATTGAAAAGCATTGTATATATGCCAAGTTGATTGATTTTTTTTTTTATATTTACTATCCATAAATACTGTCCACTGTGGCTCTTCAACCCAGGCTTCTTGGAGAACTTTTAAAGTTAACAGCTGTTTACAGGTTATGCTTTGCCTGTCAAATGAATTTACAAGTGTATTAGTGAGTAGCAAATTAAAGCAGATTTTGTAACAATTACACTTAAGCTATAGAAAAAAAAAATTTGAATTGCATAGTTTAACGTCTTAATCTGAAATACACTCTTTGCTGCAAGTGTAGCACATAACAAGGAAAGGGGAGGAAGGAGGGAATAACACACCTGCAAGACTAGGACACTTGTCTATGGTTTAAATGGAAAATGAAGAAGTAGGCTGAGGTGGAAAGCTTAGAAATGTCTAGCATGCAGATGCATAATTGGCCTCATTCAATCACAGAATTCCAGAAACTGTGAAACACTTTAATCTGCAAATATTAGTAGTGCAATAAAGAAATGGTGTGGAAAGTCCTGATGTAAGCAAGAACTCTGATTTTTATTTCTAATTACAGTATATCTTCACTTATTCATGCAAATGGCCAGAAGACATTGAAGCTTATTAGATTCTTACAGATTAGCTATTAACTGAACATATTTGATAATGCATTGCAAAATCTAATTTTTCACTTTGTCAAGCGTAGTTTAATTTTCATACTTCATAGCCTAGTAAATGTACTATAGTGCATTTTATATGAATATGTCTTAGAAATGAGATCCAGCTATAGGGGTCCTCTGAATATTTGCAAAAATGAGGAGATACTGCCACGTTTTTGGGAGGATAAATCTTATGCCCATTAATGAGATAAGAATCTTGAAGTGGTATTGATTTCAGTAATTTATGTGGTAGGATCTGTATGCAACTTGCTGCTTATTTAGTTGACTACTTGTGTCAAGTTTTGGAATGATGGATTCTGAATAGCTGTGGAAAGAATTTTTTTGCCCCCTTTGAAACAACTTAAAAGTTGTTAAACAGTTGTTACCTTGGATGACGAAGCATAAGTGTCAAGTGCAGGCTATTGCAAATTGAGGGTGATTAACTAATTGTAGGTTTGCTAAAAGTCCCTAGAAGAAGCACAGGGCATTTTGCAGTGCCCAAATTTGTTTTAGAAGTACAAAAAATATTTGGTCAGAGCTTTCAGATTTGGTTCATAGCCACGTTTTTTATTTTTGGAATTCATTTGGGTTTCCCTTGTACTTGAATCATCTTACATTAAAACATGTAATATAGAAAAATTTAAGATTGATCTTAAGTAGGTACAATATAGCTTAGTTTTGCATGTATGATCAGCATACTGCTTTATTCATTCACCCAACTTCTCTGGGTTTTTGGGTTTTTTTAATACTTTCCAAAAAAAAAGTTATCCCAAATCTTTAGCAGTCTGTTTGCAGGTAAAGCATCTACAGTTTTACTCTTCGTAAACTGTAGAAAGTCACAGAATTGATTAGTGTCATGGATGACTTTAATGAATGGTTTGATAGTTTACCATGCTAGTTTTTACATGTGTAAAGTGTCCCAAAAGTGATAAATCATTCCATCATTCACAGTATAGAACACATTCCAGATCTCTCAGTAGCTATAAACTTTAATTTCCCCATAAGGTTTTTTTTTTGTCTTTGAAGATTCATCATCTCTTGCCTTTTCCTGATCTTACTGTATTTCAGTTCTTTACTGCATTTATCCATGTACCAAATTTTGCCGTAATCATATTGAAATACTTATTTCATAATGAAGTAGCAAATGTGGAACCAGTTGTCAAAACCTGAAGTATATCAGGCTGTCCATTATTTCATAGATTTCATAGACATTAGGGCTGGAAGGGACCTCATGAGATCACTGGGTCCAGCCCCCTGCCCAAAGGGCAGGAAGTCCACTGGGGTCAGATGATGCCAGCAAGATAATCATCTAAACCCTTCTTGAACGTGTCCAGGTAGGTGCTTGCACCACTTCTGGGGGTAATCTATTCCAGACTCTGGAGACTCAGATGGTAAAGAAGTTTTTCCTTATGTCCAGTCTAAAACACTTTTCCAGCAGTTTGTGACCATTGGACCTTGTCTTCGGTTGGGATGCCCTGGTGAACAGACATTCTCCCAGATCCTGATGCACACCCCTCATATACTTATAGGTTGCCACCAAGACTGCCTGAGCCTACACTTTTCCAAGCTGAAGAGTCCCATGCCTCTCAGCCTCTCCCCATAAGGCCTGCTCTCCTGACCTCTGATCATGCATGTGGCTGTCCCTCTAGACTCTTTCAAGCTTCTCCACATCCTTTTTAAAGTATGGAGCCCAGAACTGGATGCAGTACTCTAGCTGCGGCCTCACTAAGGCTGAATAAAACAGGAGGATGATATCTTGGGTCTTGCTTGAGATGCATTGGTAGATGTAAGCCAGGGTTTTATTTGCTTTGCCAGCTGTGGCATCACATTGGTGGCTTATATTCGTCTTGTGGTCAATCATGACCCCCCAAGTCTTTCAGTGATAGTGCTAGTGAATGTAGCACTGCCGAGCTTATGGGTATGGTGTGGGTTCTTTCTCCCACGGTGGAGCACCTTGCCTTTCTCTGTGTTGAAAGTCATCAGGTTTTGATCTGCCCACTTTGCAAGCCTGTCCAAGTTGGCCTGAATCCTCAGCCTATCCTCTGTTGTGACTGTGCTTCCCCATAATTTGGTGATATCTGCAAACTTAGCCAGTTTGCTTCTGACACCCGAGTGCCAGTCATTTATGAATATATTAAAGAGTACTGGTCCAAGTACTGAACCCTGAGGGATTCCACTGGTCACCATGCGCCATGTTGACTTGGTTCCATCAACTATCACTCTTTGGGACTGACCACAGAGCCTGTTCCTCAGCCATTGGACCAGAAAGTTGTTGAGGCTGCAGGTCCCCAGTTGTCATGAGGACATCATGGGAGACCAAGTCGAAGGCTTTTTTGAAATCCAAGTAAATGATGTCAACCTCTTCTACCCATCCGGGTGACATGTCACCTGGTCATAGAAGGAGATGAGGTTGGTCAGGCATGACCTACCTGTAACAAAGCCATGTTGGCTGTCTCAGAATGAGGCTGCCTGTTGGCCTGTTGTGAGTCTAAAATAATGTAATTGCAATTCAGAATTCTTTTGTTTTCATGCAGAAGACCCATCCTGTATACTCAAATGCCCAGTCTGCAGCAAGCTTCAAAATAAATGTGTAGCTGCGAGAATATTTTTCTGTCGTACCCTATGCATCTTGTATTTTGGAAATCATGTCCATTTGGAATGAATGTCTAGTTCTTACATGGGACATAAGGGTGGGAACAGTTCCCCATATTCCCTTATGTATTCTCAATCTTCCTTTACCTTCCACGAATAATGTTGGGAAGAGAGAGAACTGTGATAGTTCTTTGTTTTTCCAGCCTCATTATTTCCTATGCGTGAGCTCTAGGAAGCATTAAACCAGCCTAAAACAGTGCTGTGCCTCTTGGAGTTTAAAGTGGTTCTTCTCCATTCCGTCTCCCAGGCACAGGGCTATAGTTATGCTACACTCAACCCTTTTCATTTTAAATGGACAATGTACTCTGAACTATCTTTACCCTTTAAAAGTCTGGTGCTTTTATGTTGCAAGTAACATCTTATAAGATTACAACAATCTTACTTCAAAATAATCACTTGTTATGGTACAACCAACAAATGCTACAAAAGCATTAAGTTGCCTCTGCTGTTACTAGCAAGACATTATAATCAGAATTACTGGGGGAGGGGGGGATTGTTTTTGTTTTTTGTGACCCAGTATTCCATATTCTAATTAAATTTCTAATGATATGCAGTGGCTAATAGATTATCTCTTTCCATTGCTTAGTCATTTCAAAGCATATACTGAAGGAATGTGGTGAAGTCTTAATGTACTTTACAGTAGTTAAGGGATATACAGTCGCATTTCAATATATTACAAATTTCTTCTTACTCTCTTGGCTTATCAAATGGTTTCCAAGATGCGTTACACTTGGATGTGTCTTTAAGTGGTGGGTAATTTTGCAGTAGACGAAGACAGTATAAACATGCAACTCTTTTTGTGCTACATGAATCATAGTTTTATAATATTTGTAATATGGGTTGATTTTTAGGTCCCAGTTCTTACTTATTTCCATTTTTATTGTTTCTTTGCACTGAAGGGCAGTTAAAAGACACATTTCTGAAATTGGAGTTTTCTTTTTGCTATTTTAAAATCTATTAATGAAACTTTTTAAAGAGGCTATAGGGTGTTTTGTTTTTGTTGATTCTGTTGGACACTTCAGGAAAATCAAGAATGTCCTAATTTTGCTGTAAGATTTATTGAAGGTCTTTCTCTGCTGTTAGGTTTTACATTTTAATTAAAGTGATGCTATTGAATCTAAAACAAATTTTTTTTTCAAAATGTTAATTGTTGAACATGGACAGGTGTTAACTCAACCTAGAATCTTCATTCAAGCTGCCTAAAACTCCTTTTTTCCATTTTTTTAGCTTTTATTTTTTATTCTCATGACTCTTCTGTCTAGTCATTTACACTATCTTCTAGACAAAACATGATTTCTCCCCCCAGCACCTAATAGTGTATATACAGATGGACAGACTAAAAAATAACCTGAACATCCTGTTTAAAATAACGGCCCCTTTTTTGCTACTAATTTATTTCTGATACTATTTCCTAATTATGTACAAATTATTAGATTTTAAACTTTATTTCCAGAGCTCATGATTTATCTCACTGTTAAGAGTAATGCCATTGATTTTTTTTTTTTTAAGTAATTAAAATTTCATAGAAAATACATATTTTACTAAAAAATATGGGAATAAGACTCCATTGTTACCCACAGTAATTCCTGTACTGAAGAGAGAAATGTGGTATAATGGGTAGAGCACTGGTCTTAAAAAGAGCCAGCTTCTGTTTCTGGCCCCGCAATTGGCATTGGACCAGTTGCTTTTACCTGTGAGATTTCCCCGTCTATGAAATAGAGATAATGATATTTCTTGATATTTTTTTTTTCCTTCCCCAAAGTCCTTTGAGATCCAGTGATGAAAAGCATCTATACAGGAGCTAGGTATCGCTACGATCCAAGGTGCTAGTTCTGCAAACTCTTCCACACATTTTATTTAACAGTAGGATATATGAGAGAGACCCCTGGAACTTCATGGCATATATATGCCTGTACTAGGGCAATGGAGTTTAGATCATCTTTTACTATGGTAGGTATTCAAAAGTGACCACAGTTGCCCCATGATAGGAATCCACAGTGTATATCAAGTCAGTCTATGATTTGTCTGAATGCAGTGTTTACATGAATATAATTGATGGCATTTTCAGGCTGATGGTCCAGCTATTAAGAAATTGGAAGTTGATATTCATTTTGTGCATAGAAAACTGGGACAGAGATTGGTGTTTCTATTCCTGGCAAGTAAACAACCCTTTTCTCCCCAACTCTTGAAGACTGAATGCTCTTGTGAGAGGAGGGTGTAGTACCAGCTTATTGCTGATACTTGGCCTTTTGGCCTCCCCACCAGGAGGAAATAAGAAGGCATGACAACCTCCATTAGATAGCTTCAGGATGTGTTAGGTTAATATATTTGTATCCTGATTTGACCACACACCTTGCATCTTGTCTGTCTTGCTGCCTATGATTTGACTTTTTCCACAGACCCATGGATGCATTTTTTCAGTGCAGAAGTTTGATACACCGATTTTTGTACCTGTTAGCTTTTTCTCTTGGCACAAAATGCTTTAATTTTTGTTTGAACATAAGCATTTTTACTAATTCATAGATTTAGGTTTTAAGATGACACCGTATTTTAGCAAGTCCTTTTCAACAGTAATAATAGGAGGTTTCTGAGGCAAACCTTGATAAGAATCGTTTGAACCATTAAAAATCCTTGTTATGGGCTTCTCTGATTTTAATGCAAGGAATTTATGGCTTTTTGTTAATATCAAACAACAGGGGGTATCCATTAAGTATCCTCTATTTCCTAAGGTTTGTACCATCGGATGAAAAGAAGAAACAAGGCTGTCAACGAGAAAATGAAACTTTAATACAGAGAAGGAAGGACCAGATACAGCCTGGTGGAACTACAGTCAGTGTTACTGTACCATATCGAGTGGTAGATCAGCCTCTGAAACTGATGCCACAAGACTGGTAAAACAGGGTTTCTCTTTTTAAAGTCCTTTTTTACACTTTTATTTGTCTTTTTCCAGCATAGGAACACAGCATGTAAAATGAAGTAATAAAATTGTTTGTCCAATTAATGCGTGAAATATATACAGAAATGGTTAGACAGTGATTCTGCCACAGTGTTTTTTCCCCTTTCGGTATACAGAAAGTTTGATCAAACTTATTACATAAAAAACAAACCCTAGCTTTTTTTCCCCTTTTTTAATGATATATGCAATATTTTTGTTTTATCCCAAACTCTTACTTGTATGAAACCACTAAAGAGTATGAACATAACACTTCACCTTCTCAGAATCACACCTGTTGTGCTGTTTAAATCATTTAAATATTGTCACCTTTAAAAGAAGTATTCCCATCAGTAGTAATTCTTTCTGAAGGAGATGCAATTTTAAAAAGAAATTTTTGATCCTTCGGAAAGAATTTGATTGGCATGCATACTTTTAACTTAAAAGTAAAAGATTCCACGTCACAGGCTCTTACTGGTCCAGACAGAATCCTGGGAAGTGGGAGAGGCAGTCATGGGGTTCTTCGTGTATTTGGGGTGCATTTTAAACTTGTCGGCCCCTTCCTAAGGGAGTTTCTTAATGTCCTAAGCTTATAAAAAGAACATTTTTTTCCTACTTTATTTTAAACATATAGGCTGCATCTAGATGAGCATGGCCATGCAGTTTATATATATTGTAAAGTCTTGTAGTCTCTTGTAATATTCAAAGCTGGATGCTAATAGTACATAATGTATACAAGAGGCTACTTGTATATATACCACTTTACATAGTTCCTCAACATTATTTTTCAAATAAGTGAAATTCCTTTTACATGCTTGTTTTACAAAAAGTAAGTGAGACTTTGTGGAGAATTATTATTTTTGCTGTGAATGTAATCTTTGCACCAGCTAATGCAAAGAATTTTTTTCAGTGATATAACCATAGTTCTTTAGCATTTTGGAGAAAACTGATTACTTTTTTTCTCAAAAAAAAAGAAAAAAAGAAAAAAATCTTATACCAATGTAAATTTAGAAATTAGATGATGGGGATTTTTTGTGAATGCTTAGAGGCCCAGCCCAATGGCATTAGGCACTGTTCAGACATGGCAAAAGGGCCAGCCCCGGAGGCACTATGGGTTTTGAACGGTTTATTTTCCTAGTGTAAGAATTCTCTTGTGCTTAACAACAAATAGATTTTCTTAGACTACGTGTAGTGGTTACATAGACTTGTAAAGCACTTTAAAAGGGAAGGTAGAAGTGTTGTAGTTTTCATATATTTTTTAAATAAAACTTTAAAGTATTCAGAATGAATCCTTTTACATTGTTACTTCTCATTTAGTTTACAGTACAATTCAAAGAGGATCATCTTTAAAATGCTCAAGTGTGTGGTTTTTGTTTTGATTTTAAAAAAGCACAAAACCGTAATCTCCTAAAATTTTAAGCAGGATTTGACTTCTGACCAATGAAAATTGAAATTTAGTTGCATTCAGCAAAAGGCAGAAATTGAAGTCCAGAAAGGTTATGTATTAGAATATCTGGTTGTGTTGATGCTGAAAAGACTTAAAAGTGGTGACAGGAAAAAGCAAATGCACAGGAAGTACAGCAGCCATTAATGTGCAATAATGATAATATTAATGTAATTTCTTTTTATAAGGTACAGTGCAAGGTAGTATTGACAGCAGCCTATTTCATATGAATAATTGAGAGCTTTTTCCCTTCAGGTTTTTATTATGATTAGAACTTCAGGTCTTCATTGTGTGCATCTGTTCCCATATTTTTAGGGATCGTGTGGTGGCAGTGTTTGTGCAGGGTCCTGCTTGGCAGTTCAAAGGCTGGCCTTGGCTGTTGCCTGATGGATCACCTGTTGATATCTTTGCAAAAAGTAAGCTTTCACTTAAGCTTAATGTTCTTATGTTTTTATAACACATTCAGGCTATACATTTCAAGATGGGTCAAGCTAGATGTGGACAGGTGCTGATGTCCTTGCACTCAGCTATGATTCCCGCTCCCTACTCTCCTGGAAGTGGCATACCAATCTGGCTAAGTTTCTCCAGGAAAGAAATTGTTCAGTGAGACAAGGAGGCTGTTGCTATAGAACAGTTTGTTTGTATTTCGCTTTGAGAAGATATATTAATAGTGCAGGCAGCCAGTTGCCCTTACTCCTAGAAGCAGTGGTAACAGGTAGACTTACTGAATGTGAATCTCCTTGTCTTCCCTAAGGTGATTAGCCTTCATCAGCTTCTAATGTTTTCCATAACAATAGCTTATCCTGCCAACAAAAGCTAACCACAGCCTAGCAGATCCTTTCTACTAAGCAGAATCTGGTAGCTCCCAGAAATTTTACTGCTTCTCAGAATTGTTACAGTACTTACTGGGTGTTTCTGAAACATCAATCACACAGACTTTCATTCTCCCCTTTTTTATAAACAAAGAAAAATCTACATTATTGCAGACTTGCAACACATTTATTTTTCTCCAAAATAAAAACATGTCTCCACAGGTTGAGTGGGTAGGTATTTGTTTTTTTTTTTTTTGTTCATGTGCATACCCTAGGCTAGGCCCTGGCACAAGCAGGAATGTCTGGTATGACTTGGTGTTTGTTTTCCTACATTGTGAAACACAGACCAGTGGCAGCTTGTGCAGCATTATTCGAAGGAACTTTGGTCCTTCACTGGCGCTCTGTACTCCCATTTCACATGCCACTAAGTGCCTCTACATGTGTGCTTTAATGCGCATTAGCTTATTTTAATGAATGTTAAAGCATCATGCAGGGTGCCTGTACACGAGCGCAGAGGCTGCTCTGACACACAAGATTAATAGAGTCTGCTGGAGCATGATAATTACTGCATTCCAGCAGCTTCCCTCATGTCCTGCATCAGTGTCCTCACGCTTCAAAATTAACGGTGGGGATGCTTGAACTAAAGCTCGTTAAACAAGCTTTAGTTCAAGCACCCTGGCACCATTTTGGAGCTCAGGGATGCTGACACAAGACACTGGTGCTTTAGTTAGAGTGGCTCTGGGAACCACTCTAATTAAAGCCCGACCTCCCTACCCCCCTCAGAGCACGTATAAAAATGCCCAAAAAAAGCACTTTTGCTAATGTGCATTAAAATGAGATAATGCGCCTTTTACTAGTACCTCACAGTAGAGGTATTATATTTATTGTGCATTAGCAAAAGCACATAAATGAACATGTAGATATGCCCACTGTATACTAGCTACAGTCTTCAGGCTGAGAATACACCAAGCTTTTGTCCCCTTTTATCTTGGATAACTAGTTCTTGTGCACATGCCCAGAGTTGAAATTTTTTAGCTTCTGTAGGCCCCTCCCAGTAATAGACAGTGTATTCTGTTTAAGTACACAGCTTTGGAATTGAAGAAAAGGCACTTAATGTAGAATGTTAGAATGCAGTGCTACTGGCTCTGGTATTAGCCCTAAAAATGATTGATTAGCTTCCCTAATTTTCAGGCGTCTAATAGTTAGTTTCAGATCTGGTATTAGAAATCCTGAAAATGAGTTTTGGGGCTGTGAACTCTGACAGCACACTAAGCAGTGCTGTTTAAGGGACATAGTGCTGTCAGTGCTGTGATTTAGCAGCCCCAAAACTGAATATTAAGGGGCTAGAAAATGATGGGAGATATCCATGAAATTGACTAGCTTCTGTCATTTTCAAGGCTTCTAATACCAGCCCTTTGACAGCTGCTTCCCCTTCACTCTTTCTTTTAGGGAGTACAATTTGATATAAAGTAGATAAATACAGTGACAGCATGCAGTTAGCAGGAGTACATTTAATTTACAAAGCACACAGGCGGGCTGAAATATGCACATAAGCGATTTTCACGTTTAACCAATATATAGATAATTGGAGCTTTTAACAACGTAAGCAGTAAGCAACAAAATGGAACTGGTGTTTTAGGCAGTGAAGTGAATTATGCATTTACTTGGCATGCAAATAAATGGGCCCATTCTTTGATTTCTTTTAAAGTGTGGATGTGAGGTGAAGAAACATGCCAGGGGTGGGCTTGAAGATTAAGATATGAGGATAAGAGTATATTTAGGAATAAAAGGATCTAGTTAGAATAAGAGAGGTGGCATGTAAAAAGATTTTAAAGAAAGGACAACAGAATATGGAAAAAGTTATGCAAAAGCAAAACAAAGTTTACAATAGACTGAAAACAGCAAAAGAATTGGACATCTCCAAAACAGATGCAGAAAATGGAGTGAAGGAGAACCAAAAGCCTTCTGAACTCATCAATTATAAAATATATTTTATATA